TCTCCGATCACAAATGCAGACATGGTTTTATGTTTACGCGGCGCGAGATGCAACGCAACACGTAAAAAGACAGTATAAGTCATTATAATCAGTAATTATGTCCCCACTGGATGCAACAAATGCCTCGTTTGTAAAGGGTTTTATTGGTTTTGTCTCATGGCGCCGGGACACGGCATCACAGTATGGTAAGGGGCTTTTCCGTCACATGCTTGAGGTATTCGGCCAATCACAACGCACTGGATAGCTGGCAAATCAGAGCACACCTCGCTTTTCAGACCGATGAGCTTTGTAAAAATCAACCCGTTTCAGAAAGGCGGGGCATAGAGCAGCAACAATAATGTACATTATGTGGAAAATCACGTGTTTTTTTAACCTTAAACCGCATAAACACATTGCATTACACCAAATACACAACGTAATGTTCTTTTTAGCAACATCATTTGACCCCTTTAACTAAAAATGTTTATATATAGGCCTAGTACATCAATACGTTTGTATATTGATGTAGCTGGTTTATCTTTTTGTAGCATGGTTATCTATTTAAAATTTTCTAAACTATATTATTATTATTGTTATTATTAATTCTTTTGTGAAATTATCACAATATTTGATGTGATAACAGCACTGTGTCTTGTCCTTATCTTTCACTTTCATACTCATATAATGTTAGCCAACTAAGGGGCCCGACAACATTAAAGAGATTATGCTTCCATAGTGCTTAAGCTAATCAGTGATATTGTATTTATATCCCATCCCCCCATGCTTATAAATTATTTTTGTTCAGTTATGCACGAGAAATGTAGTAGAAATTCCCCTACGCATTTCCCCTGACTTAAGTTTAGCTGAGAGCATCTACTGGCGACACTGAGCGTCTAGTGATGAAAATTTCAAAGTTTATACTCTAGCGCGTCTGCTGGCGACACCCTACTGAGTGAGGCAATGTCTTGCCTCTTTTGAACACTATCACTTGGGACTAGGATCTCTAGTGTTCCACTACACCTGCTGCGAAGCAGTAGCCAGACAGACTCCAAACAATGCCCATGAATATGCTTTAATCATGGCCTGGAGGACCTCATACCAATCAATGAGAATCCCCAGCATCAAGGATACAACAGTTTATATAAGAAAGGTACATAGCCAAGGTAACATTGTCACGTTACATCATTTTCCTCTAATATGATTGGTTCACTTGTATGGCAAATCAGCTTGTTCCTCAAATCATGAGATTGTATCGTTATTAGTTTTTTTCAGACATCTAGCCGTCTTGTCTTGTCCATGTTTCATTATTGCAATGCTACTAAAGGTTAGAGCATTTCTGTTCCTTAAAACATACTTTATATAAACATACATGATTAATTTGAAAATGATTACATTTAAAATTTACTTCACAGAAACAAAGACCAAATGGAAAACAGACCAGACAAAAACTGCCCAAATTGATAAGAAAAGGGGCATTGTTGCTCTTGACCTCTTCCATTCCTCTACTGCATACACAAGAAAAGGAGTGACCCATATGTAATAAATGGGTGGTTTTCAGTGAGCATCTTGTTAGGCAATGCTTTGAGGTCATTCATGACCACTCATTCACGCTTGAGTGGTTGGCATTTTGTCTAGGCGAGCCATTTGATTGGCTGATAAGAATGGAGATGTTTGAGTCCCATTAGTTTTACTGACTGGCAGGTCAGGGGAGGAGGGGAGAGTGCTTTTGAAATACCTTCACACACACACACAGACATATATACACACTTACTCAGTCTTGCTGATGCTTCTGGTACTCTGGTATACATCATCTTTGAAGTTTTCATATTGGTCTTTGAAGCCTACCTTTCCACTGAGGCTTGTATGAACCAACCAGTGTTTTGGTGAGTTCTGACACTCTATCTAGTTTACTTTCTTCTCTCTTGGTTGGATGAATTTCAAAGAATGCTTAGCTGCATCCATTGTAATTCTCACATTTTGCAAGTCTTTAAATTATCATAAGCAACTTTGCTGAACTTTATTTATTACAATACCATTCAAAAGTTTGGGGTCAGTAAGATTTTTTAAAATACATTTTTAAAAGAAGTCTCTTGTGCTCAACAAGTCTTCATGTATTGGATCGGAAATACAGTAAAATACAGTAATGTTGTGAAATATTATTACAATTTAAAATAATTTTTCTATTTTACTATATTTAAAATGTAATACATTACTTTGATGGTAAAGCTGAATTCTCAGCAGCCATTACTCCAGTCTTTATTGTCACATGATCCTTCAGAAATCATTCTAAAATGCTGATTTAATGCTCAAGAAACATTTCTTATTATCTATGTTGAAAATAGTTTTGCAGATTAATTTTTGGAATCTGTGATACTTTTATTTATTTATTTATTTATTTATTTTTTAGGATTTTTTATGAAGAGAATGTTTTACATTTTTATTACATTTTATTTTATTTTTTTGTAACAATGTAGAAGCCTTTAAGTCAATTCGATTAATTTAATGACTCCTTAGTCACAGTTTTCCCTTTTTTTAATCAAATGTAAATTAATGTCCCAGTCACATTTTCTTTGTTAAATAAACATTACTTACACTATCAGAAAAAGAAAAAAAAAATTACATTAAGTCAAGTCTGCTTGACATTGCGTTACTCTCAGACCCTTGGTGCATACAGATAACACTACAGTGTGAGTGTTACTTTAGAAAAACGAGTGATTTATACACCTTTTTAATGTTATACTTTGTAATACGAGCGTTGTTTTATTTTTGTAATACAGTAATCAATATTATGTTTATTAAAGCCAAGTATGGATCTCATCAAGTTAGTGTTTTTAAGCATTTTACATTTATTCCAAAATAATAACTCAAGGCAGTAACAACTGAAACAATAAAATGTGTTTGTGAACTTGTGTTCAGCTTTTCTTTTTAATAGTTAACTTTAAACTATTTTTGAATTTTTCGGATCATCAGTCATCAAAGCTTGGTAAATACTGGTCACAGACACTGAGATTTACTTTAAATTTCACCAAGCTAATTATTCACTAAAAAGTCCCACAAATCATTTTAAGTCTTATTTTGATTTAACAAAGTGGTAGTTGTTTACTTACTTTTTTATTAGTCTTCCCACTAATGCCATTATATTGTTCATTCAGACTGATTCGCGGATGGAGGAGGAGGGATTTATCGCATGAACCAATCACAGCCAAACATAACCAGTGATATCCAATCATATTGCGATGGAGGCATTGCCTCCTCTCACGTGACTGAATTTTTTTTCTCATCCAATATTTTGAGGCGGCAATGCCTCCCTCGCCTTCTTGGAGGAAACGCCCCTGATAGCAGACTGTTTGGAAAAGTGAGGATAGTTATGTATATTAAAGAGGAATTTGCTCTGTGGTTTGTGTGTAGAATAGGGTTGCAAAGGGGTGGAAAATATTTCCATGGAAACTTTCCATGGGAACTTCGTCTGGGAAATGTTGGAAATATTCCAAGTTGGAAACTTAACAGGAATTAATGGGAATTTACAGATATTTATGGGAATTAATTGGAAATTTTGGGGAAAGTTATAGAAACTATCATATACAAACATAAATATAAACATTTTGTTTGATCATAAGCTGACATGCATGCAAAGTAATAACAATTTTAAAAATGAAATTTTAGGATTATTTTGGAATCTGCGATGCTTTTTCGGGATATAATGATGCATAAAAACGTAAAAAGAACAGCATTTATTCAAAATAGAAATCCTTTCTAACAATATGAGTCAATTTAACACATCATTGTTGAATAAAATATTAATTTCTTAAAAAAAAGACAAAAATTACTGACCCCAAACTTTTGAACTGTAGTGTATTGTTAAAAAGGATTTCTATTTTAAATAAATGCTGTTCTTTTTTTTTTTATTTTACTTTTAATTCATCAAATAATATTGAGAAAGTATCACAGGTAATAAAACAAATTGATAATTGATAATAAATCAGCATATTAGAATGATTTCTGAAGGATCATGTGACACTGAAGACTGGAGTAATGATGCTGAAAATTCAGCTTTGCATCACAGAAATACATTATATTTTAAAGTATATTAAAACAGAAAACAAACATTTTAAATTGTAATAATACTTCACAATATTAAAGTTTTCAATTAAAAATTCACAATATTACAAATGTTATTTTTGATCAAATGAAGGCTTGAAGAGTATGAGATGTGATGTTTAGAAACTAGTGCTGTCAAACGATTAATCGCGATTAATCGCATCCAAAATAAAAGTTTTTGTTTACATAATATATGTATGTTTACTGTGTATATTTATTATGTATATATAAATACACACACATACAGTATATATTTTGAAAACATTTACATGTATATACATATTTATATTCTTATATTTTATATAAAAACTGGAAGATGGTGCCGACGCTGATGGCTGCCTCCGTGGCGTGCTCCGCAGTTGTTTTTATGTTTTTGTTAGTTTGTCCTGTCTTTAGTTATATCCCTGCAATCAGTTTCACCAGAGACGAATTGCTGGACATTCGGCAGTACACACCACCCGATATTTCACCGGTTTTCGACTATTCTGATGTTTTGCTGGGGGAGCTGCGGAGCTGATCAAGCGCTTCAGGACACGCAGACGGGGGAAACGAGGCGGCGCGCTCGTGAAGCTCAGGCAGCGCGGATTCAGAACGCCGTTGCCTAGCATCCATCTGGCAAACCTCCGCTCTCTACCCAACAAAACGGACGATCCTTATTTACTTGTTCTATTTTTTTTTTAATTATTATCTGTGTTTTTTGTTCTGTCACTATTCTGTTACACTGCGGAAGCTTCTGTCACGAAAACAAATTCCTCGTATGTGTAAACATACCTGGCAATAAAGCTCATTCTGATTCTGATTCTGATTATATATAAATATATTTAATATATAAACATAACATTTTTTAAATATATACATGCATATGTTTGTATTTATATATACATAATAAACATACACAGTATACACACATATATTATGTAAACAAAAACGTTTATTTTGAATGCGATTAATCGTTTGACAGCACTATTAAAAACATTAAAAATAGTAATGTGTCCAAACTTTTGAGCAGTACTGTACTTCTGTATGAAAACAGAAAACTGGATAGCAAAAGGTAGAAGAAAGAGCATCACAGCTTGAGCTAGCTAGCACATGATACCTAGCCTCATAAATTGTCAATGAAATAGTGCTAACTTAGATTTTTCATATCTGATTTACTGGCTAGCTAGCTATTGTATAAACTCTTTTTGGTATTTGCTAGTTAAACTTGAATACCACAGATCAAATATATTTGCCCAAGTAAAATCAAAACTTCGATGTAGTCCTTGGGCTCAAATGCAGCAAGAGTGGCTTCAGAGAAAATGGAGGGGAATTCCCCCTTTAGGTGACTAGGGGGATTGTGTGTCGGCGAGGGTCATTTTTAGACAGTTCTTTTTATTATTATCTAACATAAATGTTTGCTCAGTCAGTGTATTTGTTTTTACAATTGTATACTTTAGTTGCACAGTAGCTTACACACAGCACAAGTAAGTTTTAAACATATTTTTTATAATATTTAAGTAATTTACATGAATATTCACCAAGATGGACATTTTGATATTTTGTGTGCAGGATTGAAGAAATGATCTGTGCATGCTATGGAGGAATGCACAGTGCATGTAGGGGGTGTGGCCTCAATAGCCCTGCAGTAAGCAGTGTGCTGTGTGCATGTGATTGAGCAATGAGTAGGGTAGAAATTCAACTGAAATTACATTCAATCTGGTTGTTTTAACCAAGATTACGCTGCAAGATTTTTTTCTCATCTACATTTAAGTTCCCAGCTCCTGCAATTTTGAAAATTCTCAGTTTATTCCCATTGATTCCCATATATTCCCGTTAATTCCCATATATCCCCGTTAATTCCCATGGAAATTTAACGGTCTTGAAAATTCCCGGAATTTTGTAACCCTAGTGTAGAATGCTTTGCAAGCTGGCCTGTGTTTGCAGAAGTTGGTTCTTGTTACAGCTGCAGGGAAGTAATAGTCATAACGCATTCCAAAACACAACTGTCTTTTTTATATTTCTCTTTGCTTTCCATGGAACTTTACACAGCAGATTGCATAGTTTGGTCCACCAATCTTTGCAGTGCAAGTGTTTCCTTGAGTAACTTGGGGTCTAAGGCTAACTGAAGGATTGTATCTCATTAGTGTAGCGATTTGAACGCCATCTGGTCAAGATTCATTCCTGGAATAGAACTGTCTCCATTCAGCATGATAAATAAAATGCCACCACATATTTAAAAGTTGCTAGGCTGTAGTTTTGCTGAAGTCTCAATCTTATTTTAGTGGAGGTTTAGGATTTCAACTGTGTGCTCTTTTCGGCTCTGTCCCAGCATGTGAAGAGGGCTCTACTCAACAAGGCTAAACTTGGGGCTATTGTTGACTCCGGAGGTATGCCATTGTCTTAGACAGCCCGCCATTGCTAGGCAACCCCAAGTCTAAGAGTGCAGCATCCCAGTTCGGAAACAGAGGGATCAACCCCCCTAAACACCATCGCACACACAGACCATATTATTGAGGACCTCAAATAGAAAAAATGTTTTATATACTAAGATGGCATTCACTAATAACTTACACTTAACCTAACCCTAGCAGTAATCCTGTTGACATTTTTAGATTTCAAGATTTGGCCGATTTATGAGCCTTTCAACAACCTAAATGTCCTCACAAGGGAGTATTTGACATTTGAGGACATTTTTAAAAATTCGGCTCTCACTAGTATAGCCAAATCAGTGCCTACTTACTGAACAGTAAAGGATAAAGACATAAATCCAGTGTTTCTGTATGTGTGTTTTTGAGTATATAGTGGGAGGGGAGAATGTTTTGGGGGATTAAAATGGATACAAGAATGGGGTGGGGTCTTGTGAGGGGAGTCCTTGGAATGAATGTAATGGTAATCATTCTGTTTACAAGAGCCCTAGGGAACATTTCTGACGAAGAGGGAGAGAGATTTCATTAATTGATTTCAGTGTCTCTTAGAGCTGTTGCTAGCTGTAAAACTAGCATGTTGTGTCTGTGTCTACTCAGATTTTGAGGAGCAGTTGTATGATAACAGAGTGACAGGACAGACATTCAGACACCCCTCCTCTCAGAGCTCGGAGGACACGTCAACCACCCTCAGCCGATCCCCTTCCTCACTCAACAACAAGAAGACGGAGTTCGTCTTTGTGGTAACTACTTGTATGCTGTCTTATTAGCTCTTACACTGATGAAACTAGTAACTTTGGCTTTTATTAAGTCACTGGATTCTGACTTGTGTGCCACCAACAAACTCATTTGTTTTCTGTAAAGTTTGCAAATCTAATTAGATGTGGTTTGTCGCCTGAGTGAAAACCGCTACAGGCTTCTCTGTGTCGGTGGTTTTGAGCATGTAAATAAGCCGTAATTTAAACATCCTGCCAATTCATCTGTTAAAAAGATAAAAACTCAATTCAATGTTTGAATATAAAGAATATTAATTATTAAAACGAATTATATAATCATTCACATTTACCAAAAATCCATATTTATAAATTAAGTGTTTAAATGAATACATAATTTGGGTAATAATACAAATCATTACAAATACAAAATTAGGAATTAATCATATTGTTTTATATTCATACTCTCATTTTCTCTCTCTCTCTCTCTTTAGCCTGCAAATAAGCAGGTGTGTGAGGATGAGACCACAACATTAGGGGTCCGGGCGCAGGACCCGACCCCCTGTGGTTCAGAGAAGTCACTTCTAGGCTGGAATGCATCACTGAGTCCACCTGTTGCAGAGAAACCTCGCTGGTACCTGGGCCGACATACTCCGGCTCACCTTGTACCCATTGAGATCACAGGTTGGCATACTGTCATGTTGAGTGTATCTGTATACTTCGAAAGTCTTTTTAGAGTCCGACGTGTTTGGAGGTGTCATTGATGTGTAATTTATGTTAAGAACTTTCCACAATTTATTAGATGTTTGCTTTTTTGATGAAATGAGTCCATATCAAGTGGTGAGAATGTTTTGCTGTGTACAGCATAGACTGAACAATAGTGTCTCCTATCAGGTCCTAGGTTACCTGAAATAGTGTTGGATGTTTTAGATCTTGCAAATTAAATCACATTATCATCACCATCATCATCACCACAGACAACCCTGTTTCTCAGTTCTTATGCTCTCTTTCCAAAGAGTTCACAGATCAGATACGATTTCTTATGAATGTACTTAAAATGTTAAAGCATTTGCTCCTCTCTCTAGCTGTCACCCTGTTTTTTAAAGCAAGACGTCACTTTCCCTCTCTGTCCCACACCCATCTAACCCCCTGACTACCTTCCTGCTCCCCTCTCTGCCCTGGACATAGTAGAGAGGTGGCTGGATCTGTAAACACAGATAATGCTGTGCTTAGGCAGCCTGGAGTCTGATTCCCAAAGTGGTGCTGCTCTTCACCCGCAAAAGATAATGAACAGGTAGCTGTTGCTATGGCAACATGCAGCTCTCCCTCCTTCGCTTAGCTAGGAGGTGCAGAAAAAGCTGCATAGAGTGAGAGACAGACAGAGAGTGAGTGAGAGAGAGAGAGAACTGTAGCGGATGGGTGGGAGTAACAGGGCCAGAGGAAGAAAGGTTTTTTTCACCTCCTTGTTGTTGGTATTTTCATGAATGAAGCCAGCTCACATGTTGGGAGGTAATGAGGTTTCGTTGGGAGAGCTGTTTTCTGAGAGACACAAGGGGTATCCATGAAAAGAACATAGTGAGAACTGGGTTTAATTAGAACATTATGTTCAGTTCTTTTCATCATTGTGGAATGGTGGACCATTTATCACAGCACTCCCTCCTGCACCGGGTGTTTAAAATGATTAAACACCCAGTCAATGCAGTGCTTGAAAACACATCAGCATTGTATTGTCCCACAGAAATTATAGAAAGTTACATAGATCTGCCATTGGGTAGTGCTTAGTCGATATCCAGCTCTTGTTTTGATGTATTATCCAGTGTCCATTGTCTGATTTCATTTCTCCAGATCAATCAGGCACCATGATCAAGTCTCCAGCTAACCATCTATCTCATGTTGGCTATTGCTTTTATCCATAAAATGTTTTTTTTCATAAATGACCAGAATGCTTGTCATTGCCTTTACTCAAGTCTGATTAGGCCGTCATAGCTAATGTTTTTCAGCCTAATCCGAACATGTATTTAATAATATACCTTTTATGCGACCATTTTAAGGTAACAATTTATCTGACTTAAGACTGTCAGTTAGCCTGACAGCTGGTATCTCATATCTTGCCTCAGGCCAGTGCTTTGATAAGCACTCCGCACAGCGCAGCGAACTGCGGGCCGCCTTTAGAACTGATTCAGCGGTCAACCCAAAGACCGTTCGCCGCCCGAGGAGTGTGGTTGCAGGCCCTGATGTCACGCTGCACTGCCAAGGTGACTAACAGGAAGTTAGGCAAGTTACTGACAGGGTCAAAGAGTGCAAAAGGAAATAAACAGGAAAAAGACAATGGGCACTGACCAATGATTTCCACCTAGAGTAATTTGTAAATCCAAAATTTAATGTTTGTTAGAGCCACACATAGGCTTTGACAAACTTGTTTAAGTTAACAATATTCTGAATGATATCTTTTAGAATCTTTACAAAAACGTATCTAAGTATAGACAGCAAACTTCTGTTTTAAACTCCTTTTTAAAAAACTATTTTGTCTTTAGGTGACAGCAAAATTCTTGCTGTTGATCTAATACAAGGTGCCTGTTACCCTGGATCCTCTCAACCCAGATCTTTGGAGCCAACTACCGAGAACACAGGCCAACAGCATATTCCCCTTCGGAAGACACAGAGTGACCTGGAGTACAGTGTCCCCCCATCCCCAAAGACCCCATCAGGCATGATGGATCATGCCACTCTGATGTGCCCAAGCCCCTCCTGGAATGGCCCAAAAGGTTCTACTTTTTCTCCTTCCTGGAATGACTCTTACAACTATGCCTTGGTTACCAGCCCTGCTTCCAAGCAACCAATATCTAAAACTGGAATGCTAACACCTGGAGGTGACGGAGGTGGTTTTATCTGTCCATCCCAGACCAGTTCAGGTCTCTCCATGAGCTCAGCGTCACATTCCAGCTCATTCACCTCCATCTCGGAACCATGTGGACACCGGGTGTATACAGTGTCCACACAGGGGGGTGGTGTTCCTGTAAGGAAACGGAATGACACTGAGGGGGCAGCTTCCACTGCAGGCATGGGAAATAACAAAAGTGATCAGGAGAAGAGGTCAGCCTGGTCCAATGTCTTCAGGTTCCGTGAACGTTCACTTTCAACACCAACAGACTCTGGATCATTTTGCTCAGCAGATAATATATGCTCTCCAGGTGAAGCTGTCCCTGTTGTTCCAGAGGGTGAGAGTTATGCCCTGTTATATCCGAGCAACAGCTCAGAGGATAGCACGAGCACTGATAACGTTTCTGTGACCACAGGTTCGGACTTTCTTCCGGATGGTCGACTAAGGCCACACTCACGTAGTATCTCACTAAAGAAATCTAAGAAAAAGCCACCACCTCCAGTACGTAGTGTATCCCTGATGAAGAACCTATCAGAGGTCGGAGGAATGGGCTCCTACCACAGTGAAGGACACTTTAGAGATGGCAGACCCAAAAGTCTTGTTATCCCTCGGGATCACCATATTCAAGATTCATTCCAGCCAGAGTTCCTAATTATCAAGCCTGAGGACGACACAGATCAGGCCCACAGTAGCTTGGAGACATCTTCTGATATTTCTCAGCCTGCTGACAGGGATACAGAGCTTGGGTTTCCTCCTCACTGGCAGCTTAACGAGTGGAAGTCCAACAATGATCCCTACCGCTCACTGTCGGGTTCAAGCACAGCCACAGGTACCACAGTGATTGAGTGCATGAAGGTGCGAGGTAGCTCAGAATCCCTAAATTCACCCTCAACCTCACGAGCCACGTCTCCATCCCTGCTCTCCATTGAGGCTGAGACCAAGGTATCCCCCTTCAAGCCCCCATGCCTCATGTCCCCATCCAGTGGCTACTCAAGCCAGTCTGAAACTCCAACCCCAACTATATCAAACACCCTCATCACTGGACCTTCTCCAGTTGGCTGCAAGATGCGCCCAAAGATTCCAGAACGTAAATCTTCCCTCCCAGCTTCTGCAAAGGATAAATCACGTTCACGTCTTTCATTTGAACTACCTGCAAACTCTCAACTGGATCTGTCCTCTGTCAAACCCAAGCTGAAAGCCAGCCGACGCCACTCTGACACATCTACAGCCAACAAACCAGGTAAACTGAGCCCTAGTCAGTCTTCACTTCCTATGGTTACAACAACAGACTTGCGAAACATCCGACTTCGTTCAGTAAGCCGTTCAGAACTTGAGGACAGTCCTGATGGCTCTTCTGACATTATAGAGGAAGAGCAAAGTCGAGATCTCAGCCCTCCTATTACTCCCTCGAACACAAAACAGTCAAAGCCACCAGTTGCAATGAAGCCGCCTCTACCTAAACGACCCATGAACTTGATGCTTAAATCTCCCTCATCCTCCCCTCTGGCACCTGAATCTCCTCCAGCTTCCCCTGTGGACCGACCCATGCCTGTGGGTAACATCTATATGGTTGTAAGAAAGCCCAAACCTAAGAGACCAGCTCAGTCCTCACTCAGCACATCTGCAATAGCCCCGCAAGAGCCACTCCACAGCCATGTACCTCCTCTCCCTGAGTTTGATCTGGAGCATGGGATTCCTATTGAAGAAGATCTTCCATCCCCAAGTAGCCCAGAGAGAGAGGACAAAAGTAAGACTCTTCCAAATAGAATGACGATAACCTGTTTAGCGGAATTAGACAAAAGGAAGCCCAAGGTACCTCCTCCGGTGCCGAAAAAGCCCAATGTCCTTCTTCTGCCCTCTCCAAGCATCCAGACCAATGGCGGGGCAGAAAGGCAAACTCTACTCTCCGACAGCAACTCCCAGCCACCTACATGTCCATCAGCATCTGACATTGAGGGTGATTTGCTTAAAGATGAAGATCAAGATGATCCTGCAAGGGATCATGCAAACCATAAAAATTCAGAAAGTTGTGAGACCTTTGGAAATCAAGAGAATGATATGGTAGGTGAAGAGGACAGTTCAAAAGATTCAGATTCTCATCAAATTACAGAAAGAGAGGCACCTCCAGCAGAGACAGTAACAGGTTAAACATTTGTTTACACGTTCAGTTAAGATATCTTTCTAGGCATAATCAATCTGGGCTTAATTTATATTCTTCTATGCTGCTTCACAGAAACATATGCAGAAACAGAAATACTGGAAGAGAACAACTCTGCAGCTGACAAGACTGAACTACACATTACAGAGGAAACAGACGATGATGTTTTTGTCCACACGCCCACAACTCACACCACTGAGGATCTCTTTACCATCATACACAGGTATAATTTGTACTTTAACATTCATACTGATTTATTTATCTATTTCTCTCTAACTAGAATTACTTTGGTATAATTTGGCATAACATATGCCGATATGGTCTTGTACTGGATTATCTGGGACTATGTCTTCCAGTGCAGAGGTCACCAATTAGCCACTTAATTTTCCATGTCCAACTGAAAAAAATTATCAGTATAAGATAAATTGAAAGTGAAAGTGAAGTGACGTGTGGCCAAGTATGGTGACCCATACTCGGAATTTGTGCTCTGCATTTAACCCATCCAAGTGCACACACACACAGCAGTGAGTAGTGAACAAACACACACACATACTGCGAACACACAGCCGGAGCAGTGGGCAGCCAATGCTGTCGCGCCCGGGGAGCAGTTGGGGGTACGGTGCCTTGCTCAAGGGTCTCACCTCAGCCATGGTATTGAAGGTGGAGAGAACGCCGGTTTTTCACTCCCCCCACCAACAATTCCTGTCGGACCTGAGACTCGAACCCGTGACCTTCGGGTTACAAGTCCGACTCTCTATCCATTAGGCCACGACTGCCCCCAAAATGTATTTTAATGCAAAAATGCAAAATTGATTGCTAAAAATTTATTTTTTATTAATTTAATTGCTGACCATTTGATAAAAATCTGTCTGTGATGCCTTCTAATTTAAATCATCTTTCTTTGTCCAAAAAACATATTTAATATATTTATTAACTAAATAACAGTAGCTCTTAAAGTAACATAAATAGGAAATGGATTAATTAGCCAGCCATCATAAACTCTTACATCCAAACCTGGAGGGTCACTGTTCTGAGGTTTATTTCAAATCAGTAACTCATAAGGTGTCTTTAATTAGGGTTGGAGTTAAACTCTGCAGGGCAGTGGCCCTCCAAGTCCGGATTTGAGGAACCCTGGTGTAAACGGTTATAAAACATTTGCATTGTTTTGCCTTTTTTCTAGGTCAAAGAGGAAAGTTCTTGGTCGCAAGGAACCAACAGATTCTTTTGGAAGCAGGCAGTGTCTGGTCTCACCTGTGAAAAGCAGTAGCACAGACCTCCAAACTCTGGGCCTCGGGACCACTCCTAGGTCAAGCTCACGAAATGAGAACTTTATGGCTCTTCTCCAGAAGAGAAGCAGCAAAGCCAGCATCGGGACCCGAGTTTCTGCCATGGAGTTGCTGAAGAGCACAAACCCCTTGGCACGACGAGTCACTGAGTTCTCTCAGTCACAGCCAGATGGGAGTGCAACGAACACACCAAAACCAGCTCCACAGGACCAGTGATTCCACTTGTAGAGAACCACATGCTGGATATCAATATGGCTGGTTTTCTGTTACACTCCACTGCCCATCTAAATGGTTTAATTTACAAAGACCTCATGCTGAAGGAAATTAAGTGGGTTTGAGTTGTTGCTTTCAGACAAGGGGATATCACTCTGATGTAAGATTTTTGTGGAGTATAGTCGGTATTAAAGGAAACTGAGCCCACCACTGATACAAAATTATGGCATAGAAATCTGCTATTCTGGAAATATGGATGCGATGATGAAACTCTTGAATGGAAACTGACATCAAGAAATATTTCCAGACTGTTCACTATTTTAGGAGCCCAGCCTATATTTGTGGCCAAAGCCTGCTCTGCCCACTTCAGTGGTGGACTAGAAAGTGTCTTAGTAGGATAATTGTGTTTTAATAGACTGCACAAACTCACACAGAGAGAGGAGTGTATGACACAAGTCGGAAACATTCCACAAAGGTTGTAAGCAAGGTCTGGTACCCCTTAAAATGAAGCACTTTCACCAGTACAGGAACTAGTTTACAAGACAAAAAGCTATATTTGTTATTTTCCATTTTCTTTTTTCCAAAAATATGAAAGGCCATTTAAATGTCTTCTTGAGTTTATTTAATCTGTATAAAAAAAACTATATATACAATATATATATAAGAAAATGTAACTGCTTGATCAAAGACACAACAGACACAAAGCTGTCTATATCTGTGACTATTCTTGGGAAACTGCCTATTATTTTATAAGCTCACAGCACACAAGGGATTGAAGTGATCATATTGAACCATTATAATGCAATACATCTGAACCCACATCTAGAGATCTTCCCACACTGCCAAAAGTGTAAACAGACAGCATATAGTTATGCTTGGGCACAACTTACATCAAATCAAAATTGTCATAGACAAAACATACCTTTGAAAATAAAATTTGTGGATGGTACATGAGGGAATAGCACAGAAAGTGATGGTCCATGAGGGGGACATTAGACTACAGAAGAGGGTCCAGTAAGTGTTACCAGAGGGTCATTGGTTTGGTTCTGGCTGTCCATTGCATCAAATCTGTCCGTGGTTTCTTTACAACTCAGGAAACCCATCATGGCTACCGGTCTAAGTGTATAATCTCAAACTATCAGGCAGGAGATTTACTGAAGCCTATGGATGGTAAAAAGATGACCGAATTCATATATCCACATTTTTTCCAGAAAAAACAGACACTTATGACCACAATTCCAGATCATCTCTCAAGACATAGGAACATTCAAATCTAAGTGCAAAGTTTCTCACTTTATGTCCATTTCAGACTATGCATCAAAGATGAATCCGATTTGCCCTTCTGTCGGCACTGGCAATGAATGCCTGTGCATGTTAGGAAAGGGTGAGGCAGAGCTCAACAGTGTTATGTTTAGATTCAATTTTTGACCAAAAAGAACTTAATAGAAAAGTAATTTTTTAATGGTTGCCCTCCACGAAACTGCAAGACCGAAATGTAGATCGACATTTGAATGCACAAAGACTTTGTAGACTTTGATCAAATGTGGTAATTCACTCAAGGACTTGAGCAGGTCACCTGTGGTAAACTGATCATCATCCTTCATTACGGGAATTTTGGCGGCTACTGCAGACGGAGGGTCTACAGCAGGCAGCCGCAGAGACTGAGACTTCAGAGAGTGCTTCTTCTTACCATTCCATATGAAGCTCCCCTTCCTCATGTGACTGTTTTTCTGGCTCTCAATCAGACAATGGACAGAAACCTGGTGCTACTGATCCGGAGCGCCCTCAGCAGTCCAGGAGAGGAAGTGCTTGGCAAAAATCTGTTCTTAAGTCTGGAACAAGATCGAGATGGATCTTGTCTTGATGTTCATCTTCTCAGACTAGTCCTTCAGGTATTCCGACAATATGAAAAGCATAACGTGAAAAAAGAGACAGAATACCACCACATTAAAATAGTGTGTGACACTTGTTTTAAATGTTTAGTGAATGAAAAAAAAAGTCTGACAACCAGTGTTTATTTGCCTTGTACTCTGGCGTGAAGCCTCTGTGTTTTTAAATGCCTTGGTATTGCACTTCCGTAGAAGTATGCAGAGTTTCTTTTACTCTTTTTAGGATTTACTACTATAATATTTATCACTACTCTTGTGTACTCTGTGCTTAACCCTATCAATGTCAACAGTACTCTCACAGGTACAAGTAAAAGAGAGAGGGAGGACAGTGGAAAGAGATGGTATTATATGGGCAAAACAAATGTAACTCAAGAAATGTACCTTAGTGGACTGTTAGAAACCTTGTGCATCAATAATGTAAATTCCAGAGAGGGGAGACAAGTATCCATTGGAGATATATATATATATATATATATATATATATATATATATATA